TGGATATAATTGTAATGACATTAAACTTCCATCATCTGCAGATGTTTGTGCAGTGAGAATGGGCAGTGGTTACCGGAGAAGCACTTGCAGTGACTTTTTAACTAGTTTGTTTTTAAATCACTCTTTTTTGATGGCAAAATGTGGGTATGGACACACAGACAGTACCGTTTTTTTGCGTCCCGCCTGCCTCGTTCTGGCTAGGAGTTGTGAATACGTTAGATGATGGATTGGAAAGAAGTGTGAGTACTTTTAAAGCTTTTTCTCTATGTGTGTGTGTGTGTGTGGGTGCAGTGGGTTTTGACCCATAGATGTCAGTTGCAACACACCCGTCTTAACGCCAGGAATTCTTTCTCCGTCCTCTGAGCTTACCTGCCAAACTCTACAAAGGCTGCTGTCTGATTGTTTTTACATACTTGGGATATGATTGCTCCTTGACTGTGGAACATGTCAAAGCATGTTTGTTTAGCGTAGCGTGTGCGTGCTGCAATAAGTTTGAGCAGGTGGACAAGTAGAAAGTGCAAGCACATGGACATGTGCTTTATAGCCGATCTCCATTCATGAACTGAGCCGGGGGGGGTTTTTCGAGGAGATGGAGAGAATGAAAGAGAGAGGGAGTGAGAGAGCATGAGTGCTTCAACAGGCAATTAATTTCAGCATTAGTGTACAGGTGTGCGTGCTGAGAATGCTTGAGCTGTTGTTGTGGATTCATGAATTGCTTTATTACTGTTCAAGCATTTAATCTCAAACCTCCCCAACTTATCAGTTGCATTTTTGATTGAATATAGAAAATAATATTCTTTCTGTTTATGCGTTATAAAAATATATTTTCAATGAAAAATCCCTAAAGTAAATTTTTATAAGAATGTATTTATTTATTTATTTAAAATAAATAAATAAACGAATACATAAATAAACAAATAATTATATTTATTTGTTATCGTTTTGAAACAGATTACTAGATCAATTTAAAGAAAACATTTTTTCTTTTCTTTTCTTTTCTTTTCTTTTATAGCTATTATTTCATAATATCTTCATAATATACTACTTCACATTTCTGGTCAAACTGATTATAAATGTCATCTTGTAGTATTCTACATTTTTTAAACATAAATACATTTATTTTCTTTTTTTTTATTTTGCCATAAGAAATTCAGTTCAGTATTCTTTTTTTATTTCTAATATTTATAGTGATTTTTTTTACATTCTTAAAGATAATTTTACAAGATAAATATATGTATATAACATCACACACTTGATCACACACAAAAACTTGATTTGTCTGATTCACTCTCTCTCTCTCTCTCTCTCTCTGTCTATTGCTTTATGTTTTTCTGTCTTTCACTCATAATGCTTTCTGAATGCATCACTCACATTTCTTCAATCCTCTTCATCTGTTTGTACACACACACACACACACACACTCACACACACACACTTGCATCCTCTTGTGGGCCGACGGTTCCCCAGGGAGGGGCTGCTCCTGTATTCCTCCTGGATGTTATAATTATTTCATCAGCCAGCGGTTTGTTCTCTGAGTGCGCTCTTGGGCTGACGCGGAGGGCCGAACGGAGCTAGAGAAAAGAGGGGTGGGGCGGAGAAAATGGAGGGAGAGAAAAGAGGAAGGGAGGGGTTGTTACTTCTAGATGTATGGAGTGATGCAGAGAGGGGTAGAGAAAAAAAGGGTGTAGAATTGCCAGACATATTGAGGAACACACACATGAACATCCATAGGGCTGGTGCCTACACTTATGATCAGTGCTTGTGTGTCTCAGAAAAAAAAGACAAGACAGGCATTTATTGTCAAAAGCACACTCCACAATGCCCAGCTTTTACTGACTCCCACTTGTTCTCCTTTGCTTTCCCATCTCCTGACTTTCATTTGATTTGATCTTATCACAGGTTATACAAACATTATTAACACACAATTATTCCATCATTTCTGAAATTCTAAATCCATCAATTTTGCATTGTAGGAATAATTGACAGCATCATTGTATGGGCAATCTCTATAAACAATGGTTTAACCATGTGACACTTGCATCTTTGAAATTAATGTAATAAATAGTTGTAGTATATATTAATACAATTAAAAATATATATTTATTTATTTACCAATAAATTCATGCAGTGCAACATGCATAATGCAGAAACATTGCAGGGAAAAAAGCAGGTAATATCTGTGTCAAGGTCAGTACGTCTTTTAAAAATAGAATAAAAGAATATTTGACATTAGTTCAGGTTATTTCAGGTTGTAAAATGTCATTCATACCAGAACATACTTATCTTTATAAATTAATAATTCATGATATTTTTTAAAAAAGTGCTTTTCTACCTTATTTTTTTCTTTAAAACAGTTTTAAAAATATTGTTTAAAATGTGTAATGTGTAACATAAGGAACTTACCTTTTACTTGATAGTTACACCACATTTTATAAAGTCAATAAATGTGAACCTTTCCTAAAAAAGAGTGTAATTCACCAAGGTAACATTATGTAGTCACATATTACCTGATATGTTATTCTACTCTTCTTTAAAAAAAATGCTCTCCAAACTGTGTGTAAGGGATAAAAAAGGAAGAGTGGCATGGCAATTACATTGGAGATCCAATGTGCTACTGTAATGTGTGCTCTTAGCGTTTAAGTATTGTTCAGAGTGTGATTTTCAGTGTACTTCACTTTTGATTATTGCTGCATTTAGTGTGATCAGTCGGTCATAGTTAAAGACTGCTGCGGACAGCTTTCTTTTAGTTAGTTCTCCACTGTTACACTTTAGCCCAAGAGAACAGCCTTAATACGTATCTTAATGTGAGCTAAGCCCCAAAACGTCACTTGATAGCCTTTGGTTTTTCTCTCTCTCACTCCCTATCTTTCAGTTTCCCTCACTTACACTCATTTGTTCCTCTCATGCTGTGATTTTACTCATAGGTTCATTCGATCACCAGAACAATTGTAGAGTTCAGTCTTATGATGTAGCTTGTTGGGAAGGTAGCTGCTACTTGGGTAAAGGTCTTGAACCTGCCATTATTACCACTTCATCTACTGTTTCTGGAATCCAGTAGTGACATCTCACATAGATTTTTAGATTAATTTCCAGACTGTAACTGGGTCACTGTAAAGCCAGACTTAGCAAATGGCTAATGTTAGGGCTAACTACAGGCCTGACCCCCATTAGACCCAGTTTTACATTTTTAGAGGACATTTTTCAAGGGTTTCTGAGCACAGTGTTCCTATTTAGTTGTGAAATAAAGAGGGGGAAGGCAGCCTGTGGAGAAAGAGCGAGTTGGTCTGTGTTTACTTTGGCAGTGTGATAGGGGGCTTTTGACCTTTCAGGTCTGATTTTATAGCATTGAGTTGTAAATGTCAAGCTCTACCATTAAATCAATCAGGAAAAGACCAAAAATGAATTTCGGACATACACCCCTCTGTCTGAGTGAAAAAAGAATATTCTTAAAACATGTAGGGTTCCTTGGAAAATCACTTTTCACTGTGGTGTCAAAGTGATTTGGCTTGATTTTAATGGAACCCCCTTTGACAGAGCAACTGGAATTGAGAGATTTCAGTCGACTGCTTCGATGAACCTTTGTTTTTAATGCTAAAAATACCTCATTCCACACCTTTGTAGCATATATTATATTTTTCATAAATGAAGTCTCCAAAGAACACCAAAATGTTATTTTTCATGAGTGTTTTCCACCCTTTGCCCGACCCATTAGAATTGAACAAACTGTTGTTGCCACTGTATCTTTAAGACTTATGTATGTAAATTACCTCTGTTATGATTGGATAACCTGAGTCATGAGTTCATCTAGGCGTGGATGATATACCGGTAGACACAATTAACTTGTAGAAATTTGTCAATCAGTAAAGATTTTATCATGGTTATATTTTATCATGGTTACACACTCATGTGACGTTGCTGTGCTACGTGGTCAAGAAAACGTATAGTTTGCAAGCAAACAGCTGAGAAAGAAAACACGTAGCAGTATATTGGATCTGAGCAGCTCTTAAAGTGACAGCAGTCTAATATTCCTGCTGTCTGTCAGCAAAAGCTGTTTTAAACAACAAAAGAGTGAAAATCTCACTACTTTTGACTAAATCACTTTTGTAAATTTAATAAGAAGATTAAATCATATATATATATATATATTTAACTTACACAGTGAAGAATATATTTTATATTTTTCATTCAGGGTAGTATCTAGGCGTGGATGATATACCGGGAGACACAATTAACTTGTAGAAATTTGTCAATCGGTAAAGATTTTATCATGGTTATATTTTATCATGGTTACACACTCATGTGACGTTGCTGTGCTACGTGGTCAAGAAAACGTATAGTTTGCAAGCAAACAGCTGAGAAAGAAAACACGTAGCAGTATATTGGATCTGAGCAACTCTTAAAGTGACAGCAGTCTAATATTCCTGCTGTCTGTCAGCAAAAGCTGTTTTAAACAACAAAAGAGTGAAAATCTCACTACTTTTGACTAAATCACTTTTGTAAATTTAATAAGAAGATTAAATCATATATATATATATATATTTAACTTACACAGTGAAGAATATATTTTATATTTTTCATTCAGGGTAGTATTAATTTTCTGTGCTATTGACACTGGTGACAACAATTATGACATTTCTATGGTATCAAACATTTTGATATCATAAAGACCTTATTTACAACAAAAATAGCTGTATTATGATATATATCGTCACCTTGATAAAAAAATTACTCATGTCGTAATATAGGATTTTGGTTTCAACCATCCCTTAGTTCATCAGGACTGGATTAGTTGCTGAATAGGTATTTTATTGTGTAAACACAGGTTATCGTGAGTATGGTTCTGGTGTGAGTTGTATGATAATGTGTTTTTCAAAAAAAAAAAAAAAGAGAACGAAAGTAATACAAAAATACAAAATACCTACAAAAAAAAAAATCTTGCGTACATTTGACTCAATATTATAAACTTTCAATCTGTGTTTTATTTTTGTCTGTTGTCTCAGGGCTGCTCAGAAGCTGAATCTGTCATCCAAACGGAAGAAGCAGCAGCCGCCACTGGTATACTCCCAGGAGCCCTCCATCTACCCCACTAACTTTAGTGCTGTCCTTCAGTTTTCACCTCCACCTGCTCCACCATGTCTGCTCAGGGCGGGGTCAAAGGCCAAGGAGAACCCTGGCATGGGCAAGGTCAGGCACCCACCGCACCACATCAGTGTACTATGACAAACGCTTTTTTCTTTTAACTTACAGGGTTAGTTCACCCAAAAATGAAAATTCTGTCATTAATTACTCCCCCTCATGCTGTTTCAAACCCGTAAGACCTTCGTTCATCTTCGGAACACAAATTAAGATATTTTTGATAGAATCTGAGAGCTGTCTGAACCTGCATAGACAGCAACACAACTGAATTGTTCCCAAGTCCAGAAACATAGCAAGGAGATCTAAACACAGAACAGCATACGCTGTTTACGTCCAGTGGATACTCTCCAAAATGGCACCAGGGTGATGCGGAGGAGATGAATTGTTAAGGTTGCTGATTAGGAATTCTCACCATTAGTTTTTTGCAGAATTTTTGCAATATTCCGTATCCATTATCCAGTCGAACCCAAATAGAAAGTGACGGTTATTTTGCTGATTATGAACAGATTGTACATTTGGGATCTCTGATTGGGATCGTGGCCAAGAGTGGCAAGTTTTTTAGCATCTACACACCACCGCTTCTCATTGTCCAGAGGGTTTGTCTTTAGCACCGTATTACAGTATATATATAGTGATGGAGAGGATTTGCTCCAGATTAGATGCCACCTGCTCTGAGAGATGATTGTAGAATTAAGGTTGTTGATTAGGAATTCTCACCATTAGTTTTTTGCAATATTCCGTATCCATTATCCAGTCGAACCCAAATAGAAAGTGACGGTTATTTTGCTGATTATGAACAGATTGTACATTTGGGATCTCTGATTGGGATCGTGGCCAAGAGTGGCAAGTTTTTTAGCATCTACACACCACCGCTTCTCATTGTCCAGAGGGTTTGTCTTTAGCACCGTATTACAGTATATATATAGTGATGGAGAGGATTTGCTCCAGATTAGATGCCACCTGCTCTGAGAGATGATTGTAGAACATCATGCCAGAAGCTGTAGCCCGCTGAAATGATTGATAAGTACCCACTGAAAATGGACTCATTACATCCCAGCCTCACTAATGAGCTTCCTCTTCCTACAACTGCAAACACGCATCTGATGCTGCCTGAATGGGCTCCAGTTGTTGGCAGCTTTTGGGAGAACTATAAAAAGCAATGGGCATTAGAATAATGGCCCAGCCGTCTGTAACCATTTTGTTTGCACAATGACCAAATTGTCCAAAAGGATGCAAGACATGTGCTGTAATTCCAGCGGCTGTCACGCTCCAAAAATGGACAAAAACAACATCAAAGGGGATCTTATGACTCTTGCACTCTATTCCAAATCTTCAGAAACCATGCATTATATTTGTATGAGGAACAAGCTGAAATTAGCTCTAGTGGAGCTCTGAAATCCCATTCACATGTCATTACCGATGTCAGTTTGATGTCATTGGTTCTCACGTGTCTCATGACCAGTAGTGACATGCAAGTTTGAATGGATTCTTTACGAAGGCCCCAAAAGTTGTGCAAAATGTGTGCATTATTACACCGAAAAGACTATAGCCAACTGGCACATACAGGTGCATCTCAATAAATTAGAATGTCGTGGAAAAGTTAATTTATTTCAGTAATTAAACTCAAATTGTGAAACTCGTGTATTAAATAAATTCAATGCACACAGACTGAAGTAGTTTAAGTCTTTGGTTCTTTTAATTGTGATGATTTTGGCTCACATTTGTGTGTGTGTGTGTGTGTGTGTGTGTGTGTGTGTGTGTGTGTGGCCCAATAAAGTTTTTTTTTTTTCCTTGACAATGTCAGAACGTTTTTATACATCTTAAAAACACCTCTTCTGTGATTAGCACGTTTTAAATTTCTCAATTAAAATTCATTCTATTATTTTTTGAGGGAAATAACAGATTAATACAACTGTCCTGATAACATATTGAAGGAGGAGGAAAAATTAATACAAATGAATATCTTAAAAAGAAAACGCTTGAATTTCGGTATAATTTTATTACTTTATTATACGTTTTGGGGGGGGTTTATTAATATTTGGAATACTTTTCCTCAAGTCAAAGTCATGTGGTGAAACCAACATTTGTGGGGAAAAAACATGAAATGTCAAAATATTTTGACTTTTTTATAACAAGGTTATGTTAGTGCAGGTTGTAAAATGTCATGTGGTATGACTTACCAAAAATAAATTTTTTATCAATTATTAATACATTGTTCACTTACATGGTTACACAAGGTAAATATGTAATGTTTACTTCATGGTTACACCAAATTACATTGTACATTACATTTACATGTATAAATTTGGCAGATGCATTATAAAAATAATTTTGAGAGTTGTGGCTCACAAAACTATATGAAACCAACATGAATGCAAAGATTACATTCCAAGAATTCGGCATGTGTTTTAAACTGTTTTCCCTCTGGAATCATGTAAACTCTTTCTTGTCATCGATGTATCAATCACTTTATGTCACCTACAGTGTTATATTACAGTGTCAATGGAATTATCTGCTTCTGTTTCTGCTTCAAAAGCATTTTTTTATTTTTGTTCCAGGTCAAAGTGATGATGCGGATCTGTCCATCACTGGGGATTGTGGATTCATCCGAGTCCCTGTCCTTCCTGAAGGTGGACACTCGTAAGAAACAACTGACCCTCTACGATCCCTCACTCAACACACAGCCCACCTCAGTGCATAGACGAGCAGTGCTGCCCGCCCCAAAGATGTTTGCCTTTGACACTGTTTTTTCCCAAGATGCCTCTCAAGTAAGAGCCGCTGTGAAGATGTTATCATTTTGTTGGCATTTGCTTTTGAGGTTTGAAGTGAAAATATTTTGTTAGTGTCAAAAAGATATTTGAGAAGCACACGCACACATTTTTTGCAGGGCAAGGGGCTTAATGTAAAAAGGCCTGTTTTGGGACACCACCGTTCTTCAAAGTATGAGCCCAACAGCTGTTTCTTTAAGTATAGAAAATAGTTTGAATTCCAGACTCGCATATTTAGCAGCTCATTCACAGTTCATTATCTGTCCTCCAAAGCTGCAGAGGCATCCATCTTAAGATAAGTGGCTAACAAATGGACACAAATAGGGAAGAGGAACTTTAGGAGACTGATCAACTTGAAGATGATTAAGTGTGAACAATTTAGATATGCTACTTCAAGAGTAATAAGGTTGTCACTTGAAGTACTTATGTAAAGAACCATAAGAAAAGCCAGATATTGTGGCCTGGTTTCACAGACAGGGTTTAGACTAAGCCAGGATTAGGCCATAGTCCAGTTAGGACATTTAAGTAATTTTACAAACGTGCCTTAGAAAAAAAACATTACTGGTGTGCATCTTGAGACAAAACAGAGGCACTAATATATTTTAAGTTCAATCAGTGCAAGCTTCTTTCAGTTGAAACAGCCCAGACTTACGTTTTAGTCTGGGACTAGTCTTAAGCTTTGTCTGTGAAACCGGGGCTGTAAGTTTCTGCTTATAAATATGTCTTAAGCAAAGATAAGCATGGGCATTGTGGTGTCTTCTAAGATACCATAGGTCTTAGATAAATAATTTTGGCCAAATTTTAAAATCCCAAAGTATAAATCCTAATTCACAACCAATCAAATATACTTTATTTGACATTGTCAGTAGAACACATCAATAAAACGTTTCAGCCTTGTCCAAGTTATGACTGATAAAATGTCTTTGTACTTGAGTTGCAAGTATATCTTAATTCCCCTCACACAACCCTTCTGAATATTAACCATGGTTTTACTACAAATAAAACCAAAGAACCATAGTTAAACCATGATAAACACAAATAAACCATGGTAAACACATATTACCCATGATTGTGCTACAATAACCATCGTTTAACCATGGTATTTGTAGTAAAACTGTGGTTATACAAATGGTCAATAAGTCAAAAAACATGGTTACTACACTTTTACTACAATAACACATTGGTTAATTTTTGTAAAGAGAAACGTTTGTCAACACAGGCATCTTTGTTGTTATTGGAAAATCTGGCTATACGCCTCTTAATATACTAGTTTTGGTCATCTGAAATTTGTGTACGTTGGAAAACAAAGTATGCATTGGGGTTAAGGTATGCTCTGTGACAAGTATAGTAAAAAAAAAAAGTGGTTCAGATGTGAAGAGAAATGTTGATTGTCAGTACTTCAGTATTTCATTCTGTACCAAAAACATTGATAAAAATAGTTCAATCTAATTAAACAATTTCTATTTTACACAGTAGCCTATTTGTGTTAGCTATATGCTTAATGAAGTATCATGTTGTTAACAACAAACACTGTTATAGAAACTATTTGAGTTGCTGCCTATAATGTTCCAAATCATTCACTTTTGAGGCTGCATTTTCAGCTGCATGCAGCTCCATATGTGGACAGTGGACAGCAAAGTCATTTACTTTGCTTAGGAACCGAACTGTAATAGAATTTTCAGTTGAAGAACTTGCATGCACAAGACAAGATCTATGGAGCTTATCAATTAGGAGTTCCTTTACTCATGGCCAGCAGAAGGCTTTTAGGTCTCAGTGCTCAGTGCCAGTGAATTGATGTAACTGTAAATCCTCCAAATCTACTGTGTGTGTGGGACTGCAGGGACATATTTGTTAGCAAAGCACTGAGCTGTTGTTCTGTTTTTTGTAAGAATGTGTGTGTGTTATGATGTATGGGAGGAAATTGCTGCAATCCCAAATTGTCTCCAGGGACTGGGGCTAGTGGAACAGATTGTAGCATTATGGCCACACAGTGCAGCCGGTGTAAAACCCCCATGTCTGATGAATCTGTGATGAGGATCTGCCTTGTTGGTGCTTTCTGTGGTTTTCTTTTGCTAGTGAATAAATCAATGATCACCGGATCAAAGAAAAGATTAGGTACTGTCTACTTTGCCAAAAAAGATTTGGTTACATTTCCCAGCGAAACTGAATGTTAAAAAATAATAAAAATCTTATTAAGACTTTGGTGTGCACAGTTGTTTAGACTTTGGAAAAAAAATAAAAATGTTTTCCTCAGTACAGAATAGTGCCCTTTAAAAACGTAAATATACTTTATTTACATACTGTATTGGGAACTGCAACATAGTACATTTTAAAAGCATCTTGGATGTCTACATGGTTTTTGCTTTTTTAGCATATATGTTTATATATACAGTGCCTTGCAAAAATATACATACCCCTTCATTTTTTTCACATTTTGTTAAGTTGCTGCCTTATGCTAAACTGCTTTAAATAGCTTTTTTTTCCCACATCAATCTACACTCCATACACCATAATGGTAAAGCAAAAAAATAGTTTTTAACATCTTTGCGAATTTATTAAAAATAAAAAACTTAAATGATTCTATTGCATAAGTATTCATACTGGGACAGTTGAAATTTAGCTCAGGAGCATTCATATTGCTTGTAGATGTTGCTACACTTCGAGTGAAGTTAACCTGTGGCAAATTCAATTGAATGGGTATGATTTGGAAAGGCACACACATCTTAATAAAAGGTCCAACAGCTGATAATGCATATTAGAGCAAAAACCAAGCCCTGCTTCTTTCAAAATCTGCTTCTTTGAAGGGTCACATAAGCATGTAGTCTCTGTTACCCTTAATGGAAGAAGTTTGAAGCAACCAGGACTCTTCCTAGAGCTGGCCTCCTGGCCAAACTGAGCAATTGACGGAGAAGGGTCTTGGTTAGAGTGGTGACCAAGAACCTGATGGTTACCCTAGTTGAGCTCCATGATCATATATGCAGATGAGAGAAATCTATAGAAGGACAAATATCACTGCAACACTCCACCGATCTGGGCTTTATGTCGGAGTGGCCAGACTCAATCTTCTCCTCAGTGAAGACACATGAAAACACACTTGGATTTTGTATAACACACCTAAAGGACTCTCAGACTCTGAGAAACAAGAGTCTCTGGTCTGATGACCCTCAATTCCAAGCATCATGTTTGAAGGAAACCAGGCACTGCTCATCACCTGAAGAGTACCACCCCAAAAGTAAAGTGTGCTGGTAGCAGCCTCATACTGTGGGGCTGTTTTGCAGTGGCAGGGACAGAGGGACTCGTCAGAGTAGAAGATAAGCTCAATGCACCAAAATATTGATGAAAACCCAGTCCAGAGCATTCAGAACCTCAGACTGGGCAGAAGGTTCACCTTCCAACAGGACAATTAACCTAAGCACACAGCAAGAGTGGCTTATAGACAACTGTGTGAATGTCCCTGAGTGGCCCAGCCATAGCCTAAGCTAGAACCCAATCAAATAATTCTGGAGAAGCTTGAAAATTTGCATTTTCTCCCATCCAAGCTGACAGAGCTTGAGAGGTGAAGAGGTAAGAAGAATAGCAGTTAACTGCAAAATGATGATGATCAAAGTTTGTCGCATCAAACAAAAAAAAAGACTTGAGACTTTAAAGGTGCTTCAGCAAAATATTTAGTTATGCAATACTTATGCAATGTACTTATTTCGAGTAAGGAGTAAGTTACCCAGCCCGTTATGATTCAAAGACAGAACAAGCTGGCCTAGATAAACACCTATGATCATACTATACTACTAAATTACTAAAAAGTAATTTAAAGCAGTTTAACATAAGGCAGCAACATTACAAAATGTGAAAAAATGAATATTACTCTAAATATATGTATGTATAAGTATTTTGTACCCATTGACTTTATTCATATAGCTGACTTGCTATAATGCTTGTGTTAACTTATTATAATACCAGCCAAGTTATGAGTATTTTATTGTTTTCCACAGGCTGAAGTTTGCTCAGGGACAGTGGCTGAAGTTATTCAATCAGTGGTTAATGGAGCCGATGGATGTATTTTCTGCTTTGGTCATGTCAAAGTTGGTAAGTTATCCTTAATACTTTGCAGTTAACTGAATATGACACCCACTGATCTTGTTCCACAGTTTGCAAAGACACTTTGATGTCTAATCAAAACCGAAGGTAAAAAAAAAGTGCTTTTGCTTTTCAGAATGGACATGAGTGGGGCATTTAATTGTGTGTGTGTGTGTGTGTGTGTGTGTGTGTGTGTGTCTGTATGAGAGACCAGAGGCTAGAGAGTGTAATTAAAAGCTGACTAATTGACCCTCACAGTAGACTGCATCAGAGTTCTGCACTATTGCCAATTATGCTTGTTAGATGTTGCGATGGTTTCCTGCATCATTTACTACATGCGGTCTAAACGTTTAAGCATTATTTATGACTCTTTTAAAGCCAGACTGTCCATATGGAACAGTATTCATCACTATTTTCTTATTTGTATAATTGATGCTCTAAACCATGGCGTTTCTTTAACTTCTCTAATGTGACATAAAACTGAATATTTTAGGGAAATAAAGCAGGGATTTTCCTGTATCTGAGATACAATTTTATTTGTGAAAATAAACACATTCCACATATTAATTATTTACATTTTAACATAACCACTTATTATTTTACCCTTCCGTGCAACCTTGGTTATGTTAACAAAACTACTTTCACAGTAGAGAAAGTAATTACATTGTGATGAAAGGAAAACAAACTTTATTCTTTTATAATGAAGAATAAAATTACACTCCAAACGAGATGCGATGCAGTAAGATCTCAATGATAAACAATTTATCTGTTCACAGTGAATGCAAAAATGCTGTGCCACGGAATGCAGTCACAGCCAGTCGTATTTAATGGCTGTATGAAGCTTGATTTTGGAGTGATGGGATTTGTGGGTAGGGCTAACCCGTATGATGCAGCAGTCTCGTGTCATTCACAATTGGCATAAGAAGGATGTCTCTCGACTCATTCTCCCATTGCCGACTCTGTTTTATCACGTCCCCTTGCCAAAGCATCTGTAACGGTACAGTGAAAACTGCAAAATCTGAAAAAAAAAAAATCTGAATTCAGACTTAAGGTCTTTGCACACTGAGTACGAAATTCTCATCTGAAATTTTTGCACATTAAAAAAATAAATATGACCTCACATTGTGTTAATCATGTTTACACACTGCCTCCGAAACTTTCATCTGTTATAAAAAAAATTAAATCAGGTTTGATTTTCTGCGTTTTCGCATCCGTAGCAAGCATTTTGATAGGAAACGATTACGAATACGAAAAAAAAATGCGTAAGAAAATTTCGGACTCTGTGTGCAAAGACATTGAGTCAGCAGTTTAAAACTGTCATTAGATGCTATTCAAGTACTAATAATGTGTTATGATTGGTGGTTTATTATCCAAGGGGGATATCTCATCAGATCAGTGATAGAAATAACAGTGCTTAAAACACTTGCTCATTGAGCGCTCATCATCTTCATCACCTTGCCAGAATCAACAGCTTTCTCTCTGACTGTCTCTCACCAGGCAAGACATACACTATGATTGGCATGGACAGCTCTACGCAGAGCCTTGGCATTGCGCCCTGTGCCATCTCCTGGCTGTTCAAGCTCATCAACGAGCGCAAGGAGAAGACTGGCACGCGCTTCTCGGTACGGGTGTCAGCCGTGGAAATCTACGGCAAGGACGAGAGCCTGCAGGACCTGCTTTCTGATGTGCCCACAGGAAGTCTGCAGGACGGCCAGTCGCCTGGTGTTTACCTGCGTGAGGACCCCATATGCGGCACACAGGTCAGGAACACCCCACCTAGACGTCAAATTTAGCTTATTTTTCCTGATAAATCCCTCCCAGTCTTGCTTGTCATGTAGTTACCAAGTGTGCTGCACCAAAATATTTTGATCACTTCCTTGGAGTATAGGTCAGAAACCCCGCCCCTTCTTCAGGTAAACGAATTGGACATGAGCCAACCAAAAAGAATAGTAAAACATTTTAAATTTTTTAATTTCAGTTAGTAATTTGATGTTTGATAAAAATGGGGAGTCATGTTACAAAGACGCACCATCCATCTTATTTTACAGTTCATGGTCGTAACATACACTTTAAAAAGTGAAAATGAACAGTTATTGCTAAGTTAAGGCTTTTCAGTGATTGATGTTATATTATTGAAATTTTTTCAAATATGTTTTATATTGCAAAACTTAGTTTGTAGAATCTCTTTGTTTATACAGATTGTGATTGTGAGGTGATGTTTCATCTTTATTTGACCCTCTAACTCTAGCACTTTCTATTCTGTTTTAATTCTACTTTATCTTCTTTTTTATAAAAAAACACTAGCTTTCCATTTTTCTATTCTATCTACTTGTTTTTCTTTGTGTGTGTGTGTGTGTGTGTGTGTGTGTATATATATACTGTATATATATATATATATATATATATATATATATATATAATTATATAAT